AATTCCAGAGTTGTGTGAAAAAGTGAAAATAAAAGTATTTTTTTTTTTAATGAAAGCATGCCTGGTACAGCATAGAGCAGGGAGGCAGGGATAAGGGGGAGTCTGGAAGAGAGTGTGACGGCAGAAGCAGCCTCAGTCACACTATTGCAAAGATGTAAAATAATGGCTCCTCTGAAACCGGTATGTTTCCTTTTTTTAAAAAAAAAACTGATGCAATTGCAGCAAGAATGGAGCTCATGTGGTAATGTCCATAGTCCCAACAAATCTGGAAGGGCCCACAATGAAGGAGGCTGCCCTGGGATACATTGAATTGAGCAGACAGAAAAGATTTGCTTCTCAGTGGTTGGAATCATTAATAGGGAGAAGCAGTTTTAGCTCCTGCATCAGTTGTGTTCAAAATGAGAGCTATATTAATAAAAAGTACCTTTTCCAGAGTCTGGAAAGGGTACTTTTTATGACTACATCTACTCAGAACAATCCACTTAGATGGCCACCATCACTCACTCTGGACAAAACAAATGATCACCTGCATAAAGGGTGTACCACTATCAAACAGATGGACACCGGTATCTAATTCCAGGCTATTTGTTTTTTACTGCCTTCAATTCAGCCTTTACTCATGGCAATTCCATGAATGAGATACCTCCAAGCCCCCCTGTCCTGAACTGCCCTGCTTAGGTCCTGCAGGCTCAGGCCCATAGCCTCCTTGATTGAGTCTATCCATCTGGTATGTGGTCTTCCTCTCTTTCTAATGCCTTCCACTTTTCCTAGCATTATTGTCTTTTTTTGTGAATCATCGCTTGTCATGCCGCTGCCTGGTTGGCTAATGTAAATGTAAATAAACTTGACGATGACAACCTCAGTTTAGTCATCTTGGCTTCCAGGGAGAGTTCTATGACCCATTTGTTTGTCTTTTTGGCCATCCACAGTATCCTCAGCACTCTTCTCCACACCACATGTCAAATGAATTGATTTTCTTTCTATTGGTTTTCTTCACTGTCCAGCTCTCACATTCGTACATGGTGATGGGAAATACAATGGCTTAGACAAGCCTAACTTTAGTATTCAGTTTATTATACAGGCTATAGCAGGTCACAGAAAGCTTAATAGCCAGCCACCTCCTTCCATTTGAGGTCACTAGGTGCTTGTACCAATATAGGTAGAATACAAGTTTGACTGAATGTATGTACCAGAGTTAAAAAAAAAAAAAAAGGACTGATTGGAAGATACACAGAGAAGGGCACAGTAATCTGGGATTTCAAGGTGGAAAGGAACTGTTCTTGAGATGGTTGCCTGCTTGTATATGGAAAACCTCATATTGTACATATGTAAATAAACCAACATTGGCATTAACCTCTTGAATTCTTCTCCTGCATAAGAAAGCTGATCATTATATCTTCTTCTCCCTGCTGCTTGGGAAGGTTAGGACCTGTGAAAGTCCATAGTGAAGTAAGTGACAATCAGAAGGCCATTTCTATAAGAAAGGTATTAGAAAGACCATAGAATCACAGAATCATAGAGTTGAAAGACACCACAAGGGCCATCCAGTCCAACCCCCCCTGTCATGCAGGAAATCACAATCAAAACGCCCAGAAAAGATGGCCAATGGCCATCCAGCCTCTGCATAAGCCAGCATGGTGTAGTGGTCTGAGCATTTGGACTAGGATGCTGGGAGATCAGGGTTCAAATCCCTCCCAGCCATGTAAGCCCACTGGTTACCTTGGGAAAATGACATTCTTTCAGCCTCACAGGAACAAATTCTGCCATGGTTCATGTTAGGGTCACCATAAGTCAGAAATGACTTGAAAACACACAACAGAATCAACAGCATAAGGTTTCTTTCTTCTCCACTCTGAATGGGGCCACTGCATTATGGCCTAAGACAATCCTGGCTAACAAAAAATATGAGTTACATGGTGCGGTTTTGTTTAACAGGTTTATCCTGTAGTGTACACAATAGCTTCCAGATACTGTGGATTACAGTTCCCATCAACCATGTACTGTTAAGGTACTGTTTTTCTGTCATTAACTGGAAACAAAAATAAAATCATTCCAAACTGCCCTTTAGTAGCACATCACACTGTCTAACATTGCTCTTTACCACAGCAACCATATATCTTTATAATCTTTTTTAAAGTATAAAGTATGTTCCATTTAGTAAAAGTATGTTCCATTTAGTAAAAATTCTTGCCAGTGTTAAATGAAAATCTTGCCTATTTTATTGCTTTCTGTTGATCACATTTGGGAGATTATGATAAATATGTTATTGGTCCCTTGAACAGCCTTTCTTAATTGAACCAGTGTCAATTTCTCCTCCCATTTGGCACACAGGTTTTCATTACTGATATGCTTGCTCCCCTCCCCATCCAACACATACCTTTTGGGGATAACAAAAAAGAACCAAATATATTTGGCTGTTTAAATGAACAGGAAACATGTAATTGAAGATATCTTCTTTGCAGTTTGATACATATTTATTCTGAAGTAATTCTCACTCTGTTATCTTAGGAGTTTATCACATGGGCACCTATGTGCTTCTATCCTGAAAATGGTTAAAGTGTCTGCATCCCAGAAAAGCACGCAAATGTGAGAATGATTTTCACACAGAGAACACAACAATGCATTAAAAGCACATTACTAATGTGAGAAAGTGGGTAAAAAAAATGGTTTTCACACAGATGCGGACAAATCCCGTTGACGGTTTGAAAATAACTTTTTGTGCATGTGCACTGAAGCTGTAGTTGTGTTACCAGAAATCACCAAGAGAAATAAACAATTTTTATTCACACTATTTTCTTTATAAAATTATACAGTAATGCCCTTACTTTCCAAGAAATGGTATCCAACCTGAGTAAAAGGAACAGAACATTACCCAAAAGAAGTAGGAAAGGAAAGAGAAAACTTCTCTTGTGTTCTTGCTACATCCCTGCCTTCCTCACCAGCTGTTCCTTTCAGAGCCCTGGCTAATAAGGAAGGCTGGAGGAAGAGGAGAGAGTGATGTGCAAGGGAGAGAAGCAAGCTGTTTCTGTCTGTGTGTGTGTGCGCGCATGCGTGCGCCTGCTGATCCTTTAAGAGCCCTGTCTGAAGCATAAAAGGCTGTGTCCCTGTCATCGCTCTCAGCACAACAAAGCACAGCAAGCAGCAAAGAACCATGGGAAATCTGGCAAAAAGCACAAAAACATAGAGAAACCTGCAAATAGCTTTCACACTACAGCAATTGCGCAAAGAAAACAAATTTGTGAATGAAATGGAAATAAAAACATGGTATTTTCCCAAAAATGAATATTCCCTGATTCATATCACTTTCTGTGCGGATTCTAAGCAGTTTGCATGCAATGTCATGTGAAAACCATTCACACAATTGTGCCTAATATGCTGGATAACCACAGGTTCTGACCCATTTAAACTTCCAATTTTCCCTGTGTGATAAACTCCGTAGTCTCTAGTAAGTGTGTGTAGGATTGCCCCAGTATCCATGGGCCAATTAATAGACTATTCCTTCATAATTAATCATGATTAAAAAAAAGAAGCAATAATGTGGAGGTGGGGAGAATCTGCAGACAGGAAGCATTTAATTAAGTCCCAGGAGTCCCAGGATGCCACAATAGTACTTTGTCCATATTGCCCAAAGTGCATTTTATTGCACAGGAGTTCTGAAAAGCTTTAGAAGAACTTTGCCTGTAGTGTAGTAGACAAGCTAGTGCTTGAATAGCACTATATTGGAATCAGTTTTTACTCCCAACCAATAGCCACATCACAAATCAAATCAGGAAAAAGAAAAAAAAAACAAGAGAACAATGCAGACAATGGAGTTTATCACATAGGAAATCTGCGTCAGGTTACATCCCAGTTGTAACTGTCAAAGGATTTTATTGCATTGCCCTGTGCCAGGCAGTAGGCAGCCCATATCCAACCCAGGCTTCCTTTTCATCAACAGGAAAATCTGGTGTGGATCCAGTGTGGATTTCCAATGTAATAATCTCCAACAATTAACAATGGTTTAATGGCAAAATCACCCAGATTCTCCATTAAAAAGCGAATCATCAAAGGATGGCAAGTTCAAGTATTGTGAAGAAAACCATGAAAAGTGGGGTAGAATCCCAGCTCCATGATAAATATGCATTAAAAATGGGAAATTTCCATTATTTTTCCAGTATCTGCAGCTTACTCTGTTTAGAATTGTCCCCAGTGGTGAAAGTCTTGTATTAAGTTGATCCAATTGGTTAATCAGGACACCCAAAATTTCTTTTCTAATCCCCAGAGTAATCTGGTCTTTCTTTTGGGCCAATGCAATCACTGAAAAGCAAATACACGAATGTGTTTCTGCCACAGTTCCTGACCAATGGCTCAACTCACTTCTATGCTCTTTTTGTTAACTGGCAGGTCCCCACCAGGAAGCACAGTGCTCATATACTCACCACCCACAACATTTAGAACAGACCCTCTATAATACACACAATTCTCATCACTCCATGACACCACTGTGTGCATTATGATGTCTCATGCAGCCATGCTCACCACAAAAGGAATTTGGCTGAAATGTTCCTCTGGCCCTGTTTGCACCCAGCTGGTGGTGACCAGCTAAGGGAATAAAATCCTACCTGAGCATGTAATATTTTGGATGGGTGGGAACTCTAGCTCTTAGGCTTGAGAGAGGAGGAAGCATGGACCAGTGCAGGCTGCCATACCTGAGAAAGGGCAGGTTGGGATGTGGAGCTGGTTGGAGGGCACAGAGCATAGTGAAGTCTCCAGTATCTGCAGCTTACTCTGTTTGGAATTGTCTCCAGTGGTGAAAGGCTCATATTAAGTTGATCCAATTCACTGTTTTGTAGTACAATGGGCTGGTCCTTGGTATTTGCTGGGATTTGGTATCCCTCATAGATAACCAAATCCTGTTATATAATGGCATAGTAAAATAGTATAATTTTGCCTTATATAAAATGGCAAAACCAAGGTTTACTTTTTGAATTTTTTTTGGGGGGGGAGTATTTTCTAAGAGAGCCAGCATGGTGTAGTGGTTTGAGTACTGGACTATGACTCTGGATACCAGGGTTTGATTCCCAGTTCAGCCATGAAACCCAGTAGGTGACCTTGGGCAAGTCACATGCTCTCAGCCTCAGAGGAAGGCAATGACAAATGTCCTCTGAATAAATCTTGCCAAGAAAGCACCATGACCTTAGGGTCACCATAAGACTTGAAGGCATACAACAAGAAGAAATATTTTCAAGCCGTGAACGGATGAATTTGTGGATGCAGAATCCACAGATACGGAGGAAGAAGTGTAGTTCACAAACCTCCACAAACCTCTCACCTCCATGTTACTTTTCTCCTGAGCTTGGAAAAGTAAATTTTGGGACTACAGTCTCTGTAATCCCCTAGAGCAGGGGTAGGCAACTTTTGCTTACCGGGGGCCGGTCTGCTGGTCCCAAGGTCTTCCGCAGGCCAAGGGGGGGGGAATGGCGCCACTCGTGCACGCTCGTGTGCACATGCACAATATGCCACATGTACTGCGCATGCACACACACGCTCACTCATGCATGCACAGTACTTCTGGTGTACTGCGCATGTGTGAGTGAGTCGCGGCCGCCATTTTGTTTTCCAAAATGGCACCGTGACTCATTTGCACATGCGCCAGAATACTGCACATGCGCAAACAAGTCGCGGCCGCCATTTTGTCATGCACAACAAGTTGCGGTGCGTGGCAGGCGCGGCGTGCGGCGCGCAGGGGCAGAGGCAGCAGCAGGACCAGGCTGGGGCCAGTCCAAAGGCCTTGGGGGGGGTGGATCCGGCCCCCAGGCCATAGGTTGCTGACCCCTGCCCTAGAGTCTATGCCAGCCAGGGAAATCTGGGATTTGTAGTCCAAAACCAGTAACTTTCTGCAGTTTTCAAAGATATAGCTGTGTTAGTCTGTAGAATCAGTATGTAGAGAGCTCTTGTAGCACCTTTGAGAAAGAAAGAAGATGGCAGCATTAGCTTTCATAAACTTAAGTCTACTTAAGTCTGCAAATGCATTGGAGGAAGTAGACCTAAGTCTAGGAAAGCTCAGGCTGCCAACTAGTCTCAAAGGTGCTACAAGATCTTTTTACTTTCCCCAGCTTTTCCCCACCCCATCCCCTTTTAAAGCCCTTTCCTGATAAGAGTCCAGCAAACACACCTAACCTTTCCTCCTACCCGCCTGCCCCAACTCACCTTCCACTGCCACACCTTTTCCTGGGATGAGATCACTGGCTGTGAGCTGCTTTTGGCTCTTCCCTGGCAGGGCTGGCACCTTTAGGGCAGCTGGAGAGGAAGGTGGACTCAATCCCTTGGTCAGGCTTCTGGATTTTTTCCTGGCAGCCCAGCCAGGAGGAGCCCATAAGGCCAAGACCAGGAGAGCAAAGAGAAGGAGCTTCATCCTTTCGTTGCCTTCCTGACTGCAAGCCTGCTGCTCTCCGGGCTGGGATCCCCACTTGGTTGCATATATTCTTCCTGTACAGTGAAAGGTTTTATATTCTTCATCCCCACAACTCTCTGGCAATGGGAGAGGAAGAGGGAGGAGGGGAAGCACAACTTTGACTGGAGCGAAGGCTCTGGCAGTACCAAGGGGGGCTTTGGAAATTCATGCCAGTCACAGGATGCAGCCCACCTCATACAGGGGAGTTTGTCTCGGAGCACCTGGCCAGGCTCCGAGGCCTCACTCCAATGAATGGTGCTTCTGTGCCTGTACACAGCCAGCCACTGTCCAGAAGCCATGAGCTGCTCCTGTAAAGAAGGAGACCTCCCTCCCTCTCCTCTCCTCCTTCCCCCAAGCTTAACTGGCCCATCTCTCTCTGCACAGTGCCAAGTCTGTGACTATAGGCACCAGCATCCCACTCCTAGAGGGGCAAGCATTTTTATTGGCTTCAGGATATAGTGCAGGGTCCCGCTGGAGTAAGGGATTTAGGCAGCTTGCTAGTGTGTTAGATCCCTATCCCTTTTTGGCCAGGTTAAATCTCCCTTATTGGGAATTCCAAAATCCAAAATATTCCAAAAAACCAAACTTTTTTTCATGGGTGGCTGAGGTAGTGCCATCTTTGCTTTCTGATATGTCAGTGTACACAAACTTTGTTTCATGCACAAAATTGTTTAAAATATTATATACAATTAGCTTTAGGCTATGTGTGTAAGGTATATATGAAACATAAATGAATGTTGTGTTTAGCTATGGGTCCCCTATCCAAGATATGTCATTATGTATATTTATGAAAATACTGGTATTCCAAAAATAATAATAGTAATAATCCAGAATCCAAAATACTCCTAAGCATTTCCAATAAGGGAGACTCAATCTGTAAGAGAATTGGCATAGTATCTCCTAAAACAGTGGCTTCTGGGTGTTGTTCTTGGGAAAGTTTGGGGTTTTGGAATTCAGTTCCCAGAATCTCTCAGGGCCATACTGGTTGAGGGAATTATCTGGGGATTGTTATCAATAAGGAACTTTTCTGGGCTCTATTCTCAGGTATTCTGGGGCCTCCTCAGAAGCTGAGGGTTGTTCCTCAGGGAGAAAACCTTGGTATAGTACCACCATAGATAGTTTTGATTGAAATAGATAGAGACCTTGCTCTTCATTGTTGTGCCTAGCCCTTAGGACTGACCCAAGATCTCAGGTTGTTTTGGCCTCTGAGGTAGAAGAAACACAACAATGACACTCATCTCCTTGAAGCACACATATATTTGTAATAAATTAAGAATTTTCTGCTCTTTTATGATATCCAAAATCTGCTGCCTTGGGTGATTGTCTCACTCCACCTAATGATACAACTGGCACTACCAGATCCAGGGCAAAAAAATATTAAGTAATATAAATCAAAGTATTACACAGGTCCAAAAAGACACTTATCTAAAATCATAGGTTACAGATAATTAAAAAATATATTATAAAATATCAAATTCATAAAAGGTGTGAAAAGTGGCTAATAATGCTAAAATGTATGCATATACGTAAAAATCTTCTACATACAATGAACTGTTGCAAACATAATGTACCTAGCTATATCTTTGTTGGAGCCAGTGTGGTGTAGTGGTTTGAGTGTTGAGTTATTGGACTGGATTCTCCACTTGGCCATGAAACCCACTGGGTGACCTTGGGCAAATCACACCCTCTCAGCCTCAGGGGAAGGCAATGGCAAACCTCCTCTGAATAAATATTGCCAAGAAAACACCATAATACGTCTTTGGATGCAACAAGTCGGAAACAACTTGAAGGCACGCAACAACAACAACAACAATCATGATAAGAGGTCCCTCTAAGTTACTGTGCATTAATGGAGAATAATAACTATCATCAGTCCCATGGTAATGTCATAACTTCCAACGTTTCATAGCTGAAAACTGGGACTTGTGTGGACATGCAATTTCAGCGTATAGACAAGATGGATTATTAATGAGGAAGAACACATAAGTTAGGGGAGGTTGCAGCAGTTTGCTTTTGCCTGAGCTTCCTTGGAAGGACAAGACTCCATCTCCTTCTCTCCTCTTCCCCCCCCCCCCCAATTAACTGTGCTAACTACTTTTTCCACTTTGAACTCAGTTTACAGAAATTAATTAAAGGCAAAGAGGGAAAATGGGAAGAGGAAAAAGAAACTGGGATATTTGAAAAGCAGCTGAAAAAAGTGGGACAACAGAGGATTAATAGAGATTCCCTGCCAAATCAGCACAGTTGGAAGGTATGTTACTCTGCAGTGGTGAAAAAGTAACTTGTTACATTACTTGTTGTACTACTTGTTACTTTTCTATTGCTTTACATTATTTTTTTGCGAGAAGAATATCCTTAGCATTCATAAAGGAATGACATAAAACTTTAAAAATGCATAAAATGCCTCTAAAACATCATGTCTACAATAATCTTTGAAAGTTACTAAGCACACTAATAAATAGCCTTTGTGGTGAAGAAAATAAAACAAAGTATCTTAATTCCTGCTCATTGTTATCTTTGTGTTCCACCTTTACAAAAGTAACTTTTTGCACCAAAGGCATGATTTTTTTCATACCTCTAAAGGTGACAAGTAACAAATAAGTACATCAGTTGTAACTGATCTCTATGTTAGGGATATTTCTAATATTAGCTCCAGTGAGTATAAGGCCCAGAATTTATCTAGCTCATAAAAAAATGAGCACAAAGTACTCCTGAAGCCTCTCATTAGCAACCAAAAAAATAAAATTAAAAAAAATAGAAGTGGAGCCAGGAAATATATTTTTCTTCCAAAGCCTGGAACTCTGTCTAAGGGTTGACAATTTTCCTAGCAAAACTATGCATCTCATGAGCAGCCCCAAAACGGCCTCTTTCCTTCCGTTCATGCACCAGTGGAAACTTGTAGCCATACCAATATTATTAGAAACTATAGCTCCCATGATCCCTGACTGTTAGCCAGACTGGCTAGAGCTGATACAGCATGTCCACTTCTGAATAAAAGGCTTTTTAATGAGCCTGAAGATCTTTACTATTGTGCTTTCTCAGGAAGCGAGACCAAGCACACTCAGAGATGTGCAATAGCAAAATGGTTTACAGTCAAAACTAGCTGTGAAATATGCAGGGAGGCTGTTCAGGTTCATTAAAATGCCTTTTATTCAGAAATGAGAATGCCTCAACAGCTCCAGCCAGTTTGGCTAACAGTCACGGGAGCTGTAGTTTCTAGTAATATTGGTTTGGCTACAAGTTTCCACTGCTGCATGAATTAGTTGGGTAACAGACATCTCCAAGCCCTCCCTATCCTCCACTGCTCTGCTCAAATCCTGTAGATTTGTGCCCCTGACAAGTGATCTTCCTCTCTTTCTACTACTTTCTACCTTTCCTAGCATTATCATATTTTCCAATGAGTCATGCCTTCTCATGATGTGGCCAAAGTACAATAAATCTAAGTCGTGTCATCTTAGCTCCCAGGGAGAATTCTGGCTTAAGACAGCAGCTCTGTAGGCTCCTTTTTGCAGTTGCAGGGATGCTTCCCCTGAAGAAGTTCATCATCAGCCTACTCCTAGATCCATCACTATCACTGGAAGCAAAGTGCCCTATTTAGAAGGCTGGAGATAGCCTGCCATGAGTACTCAATGCTCTGCT